CTGAATGCAGGTGATCTGTTCTAATAAGGTGTCAGCATTAAAATATCTGAGACCAATCTGCTGAATCTCTCTCTTGTTTTTTTTTACCCTCTTCATGCCCAAACCAGCTCTGAACACATCTCTGAGTTGATGAGAATAGTCTCACAAGATCTTAATACAGCTAATCTAGCCAATTACTGAGATAAGATAATGAAAGTGTGGTCTCGGTTTTGAGTTGTTTTCTGTATTTGTTTGATGCGACCTTCTTCACTTGTGTCATACAGTGACTTTGTGTTATCTGTGGTTGTAGTAATGATCTTCTCTTTTAATCTAATTATATTGAGTCAACATAAGAATAAAGTACTGAAAAGGACACTTTTTGTGCTGAACAAGAGAAAGCAGACTTTTTTTGATCATTGCCTCACAGAATGCTGATACTGCTCTCAGTTAACCAGCCCAATAGAGCAATGCTTGCAAAGCTTATTACTGTTTTGCAATTTCAAGTATCCCTTACCCCCGGACACTGAGATTAAAACATTAAAATGCTGAGAATATGCAGCAGGTCTGTGGACAGCATTAATGTTTCATGGTCGTCGACCTTTCCATCAGATACCTCAGAGATTGCTTGAATTTCTGTTCCACGGGTTTTAATTCCCTGAAGAAGCCAAACATCTTGGTTTCATCACTGACCCCATCCATATGAAGATCATTCTGACAACGTGCCTAGGATCCTGTGCAACCTTCATATACAAAAAGACATCTGGATGAATGTCTTGCACGCATAGCACTCTGACACTGGGATATTCATGAAAACTGCATAGATAGCCACTGAACTGTAGAAAGGCTTGTTTTGAGCTGGAATAAACAGTAAAGCCACTTTTTTCTCTGGCAAATAGAGCAAAGTACTTCACTTAAATACCTTTTGAAATGTTACAGAGTGTGTAACATTCTGTAACCTTGCGAATGACCCAATCTGTTCAGCATGCTGTTGCTAACTAAAATGTGTGATACAAATACAGTGTGACCTGTGATTGATTCAGTCATTGGGGCAGTGCAGTGGCTCAGTGGTGAGCACTGCTGCCTCACAGCACCAGGGACCTGGGTTCAATTCCAGCCTCAGTTGCCTGTCTGTGTGGAGTTTGTACATTCTCCCTGTGTCTGCATGGGTTTCCTCCAGGTGCTCCGGTTTCCTCCCACAGTCCAAAGATGTGCAGGTTAGGTGGATTGGCCATGCTAAATTTCCCGTAGTGTTCAGGGATGTGGAGATTAGGTGGGTTATAGGGGGATGGATCTGGGTGGGATGCTCTGAGAGTCGGTGTGGACTTGTTGGGCCAAAGGGCCTGTTTCCACACTGCAGGGATTCTAAAAAAAATGTATCATGCAAGGTTTCCTTTTTCAAAACTATAAAGAATCCAGTTTTCTTTTGTGCCAATTGTAAAGAGATTTCATGCAGGGTTTTGCATGGACTTGCGTTGGATTCTCTTCGTGTTGGGTTTAATAAATGTTTGGCTTGCTCCTTACTTTTTCACTTGATTGTTTTCCAAAACAGTAGTCGTAATCAAGGTGGGGTAAGAGTTACATTTGAGGTGAGGTGTCGCGGTGTTAGATAAAGACCTGGATTGAGATTAGCCATATTACAACAACATCAACTGACATTTATGTAGTACCTTCAACACAAGACATGTTCACAAAGCAATTCACAGTAACACCATAAAACAAAATTTGAGGGCAGCATGGTGGCTCAGTGGTTAGTACTGCCGCCTCAAAGCGCCAGGGACCCGGGTTCAATTCCACCCTCGGGCAACTGTCTGTGTGGAGATTGCACATTCTCCCTGTGTCTGTGTGGATTTCCTCCAGGTGCTCCGGTTTCCTCCCACAGTCCAAAGATGTGCAGTCTAGGTGATTGGCCATGCTAACTTGCCCGTAGTGTTCACGGATGTGTAGATTAGGTGGGTTATGGGGGGATGGGTCTGGGTGAGATGCTCCAAGTGTGGACTTGTTGGGCCGAAGGGCCTGTTTCCACACTGTAGGAATTCTATATGATGACACCGAGCCACATAAAGAGACATTAGGACCCAAGGCTTGGTCAAAGACATAGGTTTTATGAAGTGTTTTTAAGGAAGAAAGTGAGGTGGGGAGGTGGAATGGTGTAAGGGAACACAGGGTTGACACTGGAATGGGCTTTGCTGCGAGTTAAGACAATGGCAGCAGAACTTTGCATGATCTGACCTTTAGAAAGGGTAGGATATGAGAGAGCTGCAGCCAGGAGTGCATTGAAGTCAACACTCGAGGTAAGAAAGGCACAAATGAGAGTTTCAGCAGCAGGAGAACTCAGATAAGGCATTGTTGTGGAGGCTGATGAGAAACAATCTTAGACATGCCACAAATATGTGGTAAGAAGCTCAAGCCAGGGTCAAATGTGACACCTACATAGCAAACAGATCAGGTTGGTCTCAAACGTTTGCAGGGACAGGGATAGAACTAGCAGCTACGCTGCAGTCACATCATCCCATTGGTAGTTGTCTGGTTTACATATAACACTGAATTCATCAGTATTATGCCCAAAGGGTCTGTGAGTTACAGAATCTGTGCTACACTCATGCTCTCCTTAGTTATTGCTTTCTCCTGGGAGGATGAGTTGTGTGAAATTACCCAGGAGGTAGAACCATACTATCTTTAAGCGCAAGATACCATTTGACCCATCAAATCTATTCTGCTGTTTGAAAAAAAAATCCAATTTGTCCTGCTCCCCAGCTCTTTCCCCTTGGTCTTGCAGCTTTGTCCCTTTGATCCATCCTGATTGCAAGTTCCAACCAAATCTTCTTCCACCTCCATTTCAGGGAGTGCATTCCTGGTTATAATAATTTGCAACATCAATTCTTTTAAATAATTCTCCCAGTCTTGCCTCCGCACCTTTTGTCAATTGTCTACACTGAGACTCAGTCAAGTGTGTGAGCAAACTGCAGTTCCCATGAATGTCATTTTGGTTTGTAGGTGATTATAGGAAAAGTGAGCATTTCCTGAAATTCCTAAATCAGGAAGCATTGATTGAACGGTAGTAAACAAACCGGTCAGAAACAACAAGGTGCAGGCCTGGATGAACACAGCAGGCCAAGCAGCATCATAGGAGCAGAGAGGCTGACGTTTCGGGCCTAGACCCTTCATCAGAAAAGCGGTCAGAAACACTGGTGGGTGAGAGAGTTAACGTGCCAGTGAGTAAGGAGGATGGTGGGTGAAAGTTAAGGTCCCAGGGGGTAAGGACACATGACATTGGAATCAGAGGAGGCAGGTATCAGCTCCTATAGGGTCAGGTGGGGCCATGCCCAGGGTGATCTAGCAGATAGGGATCTAACAGATACAAATTGGGAGGTAATAAGTTAATTTGGTCAGGTGTGGTTGTCAGGACTCTGTAGGAGTAACGGAGTTAGCCAAAATAGTTTTTTTTTGGTGGGGTCATCAGGTTAATTGTCACACAAAAGTTACACTGGGTTTTTAATCCTCTAACATTTCCTGTGTAACTAATGGGTGAATTGGATCCCTCTGAATTTTCCAATTTTACGAAATCGAAGCCAACACCTTCATTCTTTCGCAGTGTTCAACATCTATTTAATATCATCATGTGTTGCAGTTTTTCACAGGGTTTCTAATGCTTTGTAATGAGTTATCCTTTTTCACAATAGCCCATGTCTCTTCATTTCACCATTTTAACAAAATGTAGCACAGTAATACTTTGAAATGACTCAAGAGTCCATAGTAACTTACATTACTGGAAAAGAGACTTTGTAAGTGCTTTTACATTGATATGGTGTGCTGTTGCCTCATCTTCATCCCATGATAGAACTGTTATAGAACCAATAGTATTAGTAAAGGATAGTTGTCAGTTCATTAGGTAGAGGGTTGAGAAAACCCATGTTAGTATTTGTCAGAATCCACGATAAATGCAACCCATATCGCTGTAGTACAAAATGTCTTTGTTTCGTGAGACGGCCTACAGCTCTTCCATGACAAGGATAAATCTTCATGTTGGCTCCTAACTTCAGGAGTTTTCTCATGACTCATCTGAACAACTGAACAAAATAAAATGGACATCAGTCAGTTTTCATGATTCAAAGCTTAGCATCAGAATTTCCAAAAGCTTTAGGAACAACAGCTCATTTGAAAGAAAAGAAACTCAACACTTGTTACAAGTGCTAATTCCAAAGTTTCCAGAACAATCTGACGAGTGTACATCTGAAATTTAAATATACAACAACAAACAAAATCACTGACTGATAGGTTTCCGCCAAAACTCGGGGGATTTTAATTTGGTTATTCTGTCGTGTAGATCATTTCTGATCAGATGGTTCCTTGTATGTTTGCTTGTTGGAATCTATCGTGACCACTAATTCAACAAGCAACCTCAAATGATTGTGTTGTCAATCGGTTTCATTATAATGTTAAACACACCTGGCTGGAGGATTGTAATGTGGGGATACGGGGAGGGGGGTGAGTTGGGTGGGGAGGGGAGTTACAAGATATGGCCTTTTGCCAGTGGAAAAAGCCCACAATTCATTCTTCAATCAACTTCCTTGCTGAAGTTAGCAGATTTTCTGGCCACACGAAACCCACCCTGATGATTGAGTTACTGAAAGGCTTGGGGCTGCTTTGTAGCAGTCTCGAGAGAGTGCTGAGAGACTGTCAAACATAGCACAAGCTAATGAAGCAGCTGTAGGAACGTGATGAACTCACTGTCACAAAGCCACTAAATAATAATGATAATGGTGAGGAATAGATAAATCAACTTAGAATGGTTGTCACTCTCTCAATAAGAAGGGAACGCTGTACAATAGGTCAACTGGTATCCCAAAAGGAAAGTCGGGTTAAGCTTCATGTTTTTGATGGTTGAAAGCTTTGCTTTTTGTTGAGTCATTTTCTCATTTAAAATGGTCAGCAATTGTGAAGTCTCTCTTACTGTTTATGCTTGCTGAATGATGAGTGTTGAAATTCTACAGATAAACTGTTGTTGTTTTTTTTGCTTGCAGCTTCCTACTGCAGCTTGAACAGTGTCCCTTTGAACGGCGGGGTACTGAATAAGACGGTCGGCGCTTTAAACAGTGTGTTGCAGTTTTACTGTAAAGCTGGGTATTGGCTGGTGGGCCAAAATAATGCCACGTGTAGGCAGACCCCAAATGGCATGTATCAGTGGGATGCTGCGGTTCCACTCTGTCAAGGTAAGGTTTACTAAACACAAATACCATTAAATAAATGGTTCAGGTCTGTCTGCATGGAAGTGGAATTTCCCTCTTTAGATTTCTATACTAAAGAGGTACACCCTATTTTAAATACCACCCCCCTCCAACCACACCATCTCTGTACCATTGACTCTCACTGTCAATTCCACAAATTGAGTGCAGTGCTCTGACCTTTTTGATCACTTGTGGTCATTCAAATGCTGTTGTGTCAATCTTGCGCTTTATTTGTGGATATGTTCTTCACACAACCTCAGGCCTGACTTGTCGGCTTCTTTTGAACAATGTGGTACACTCAATATAAGCATGATGTAAGGCTGCAGGACTCCATCGTCCAAGCCATCCATCTTCCGAGCTTTCTATTCAGTAAACTTGACATGATCAGGAAGGAGAGATCACATCCAGATTGAGGTACAGCCCCAATGAATGCATATTTCTTGGATTTTGGAGCTGCATGAGAATTTTGTGTAGAGGGGAAGCGGTTCTTATTGGTTTTGTTTTTGGTTCGTAGTTTGTAAGGTCTTTTAACATGATAAATTGAAGCTCAGGAACAGGGAACCAATACAAAACCAAGAGTGAGATCATAGGAAAACCATAAGTTCACTGGTTGGTAATTGCTAATTTGATTATCTGTTACTTTCATATTCAACGTAAATAGGAGAAACATTTGACATATTAAAAACTAAAAGATTAGTCGGAAGTCTAAAAAAAACAAGAAACTAAGTAAACAAAATAGAGATGCAGGGCCAGATGATATGCTGTGCCTGCATAATGTGGGAGCTTGTGGACCCCATTCTGGTTCATAGTGACCACATCTATGGCAATAGTCATTTGCTTAGGAACTCTGGCTTAGAGTTGACGAGCTGGAGTTCGAACTTTAAACATTATGACACATTAGGGAGCAGAAGAGTTAACTTGATGCTGTGTTTCAGGAGGCAGTCATACCTATTGGATGAGCAAACTTGAATATAGTCAGCGGTCAGTTACAGAAGGATGTGGCTATGAGTAGAGGAATCCAGGAGGTAGTGCTGACGGAGCCTCAGCCCTTGATCCTGTAACAGGTTTAAGATTCTTGCTCCCTGTGTGGGTAAGAGCAAGGGCTGCAGGGAGGATGAACAAACTGAACATAGTACCAAGATACAGGGAGCCATTCAAGAGGAGGGAGAAAAGAGAAATGTAATTGTAGTTGGGGATAGTAGAGTCAGGGGATAATATAGTTAGTGGGATAGGCACATTTTTCTGTGGCCAGGGTCAATAGTCCTGAAGGCTTTGTGACCTGTTTAGTTGCCTGGGCTGCAGAGGAAATTGGAATGGGAGGGGATAGCTCGAGTTGTCATGATCCATGTAGGTACCAATGATATCAGTAGAAAGAGGAAAGAGACTCTGCTGAAGTAGTATGAGCAGCTAGGGGCTAAATTAGAAAGCAAATCCTAAAGTATAATAATATCTGGATTACTACATGAGCCACGAACTAATTAATACAAGGTCAACAAGATTAAAGAGGTAAATGTGTGCGTAAAAGATTGGTGTGGGAGAAACGGGTTTGAATTCATGGGACATTGGCACCAGTATTGAGGATGGGGGCAGCTGTTCACATGGGAAGAGCTCCACTTGAATCATGCTGGTACCAGTGTCCTGGTGAATCACATAACTACAGCTGTAGATAAGGCTTTCAACTAAATAGTGCAGGGAGTGGAGGGATCAGTACAGTTGTATGGAAAATTAGAAAATCGGAGGTAAAAGAAAGGTATTGTTGCAGGTTAGTGATGGGGTTGATTGTTACCAGAAATTCAAAAGAAGGGACAAAATGTGATATTGCGCCGAGGAAATATAAAAGTGTAAGGAAATTTGATAACAGCACAAACTTAAAGGTTTTGTATCTTAATGTCTGAAACATTCAGGACAGGGTAGATGAATTGATGGTGCAAATCAAGGTAAATAAATATAACCTCAGCCGTTATAGAGTCATGGTTACAAGGATATCAAAACTGGCAACTTGACATTGGGGGAAATTTGACCTTACAGAAATAAAGGGGTAATACTGATGGTGAGATAGCACTGTTAATGAGAGATGGAATGAGGAAAGTTGTGAGTGATGATCTCGGCTTGAATGATGCAGAGTCCTTTGGTTTACGGTAAAAAACAGCACAGAAGAAAGACATTGGTAGGAGTAGTGTACATGCCCCCAGACAAGAGCCACTCTGTGGGAAAGGCTATAAATCAAGAAACAGTAGGAGCATGTAAAAAAATGAACAATGATTAAGGCTGACTTTAATCTTCATGTTGATTGAGTTAATCAAACTAGAAAGTGTAGCTATGACAATGAACTCATCGAGTGCATTCGGGATAGTTTCCGAGAGCAACATGTTATGGAGCCAACCAGGAGGCAGGCCATCTTGGATCTGGAATGGATAATGAAACAGATTTAATAAATGACCTTAGAGTACGAGATCCCCTAGGAAATAGTGATCATAACTTGATAGAATTTAATATTAAGTTTGAGAGTGATAAACTTGGACTGGAAACAACTATGTTTAGTTTAAATAAAGAGAATCACAGTGAAATGAGAATAGAGTTAGCTGAAGTGAAGTGGGTGGATAGATTATCAGGAATAACAGTCAGCAAGTACTGGCCAGATATTTAAGTAGGTAAATTATGATACTAGTGAGGAATATATAAATTCATAGTGAGAGCTTCTTTACAGAAAACAGAGGTCAAAGTGAACAAAGGCTCCTTGCAAAATATTGGTTATGGGGAACAGGGAAGTGGCAGAGAACAAAAGAATGGAATATTATTTAAATTGATAAAAGCTGCAACACAAATAAACTTGGGGGTACTTGTGCACAAAACACAGTAAACCAGCACATGGATGCAGCAGGTAATCAAGAATCTCATACAATGTTGGCCCTTATTTCTTAATAATAGTGTGTTATGAGCAAACATTAAACAGATTGAGACTCTACTCACTAGAATTTAGAAAAATGAGAGGTGATCTCATTAAAATGTTTGGATTCTTAAGGGACTTGACAGAGTAAATGCTCAGAGGATGTTTCTCCTTATGGGAGAGCCTTGGACCAGAGGATATCGTCTTAGACGAAGGAGTCACCAACTTAAGACTGAAATAAGGAGGAATATCTTCTCTAAGTGTTGAGGGTTTTTGGAACTCCTTCCCATAGAGAGCTGTGGGGCAGAACCTTATGTATATTTAAGGCTGAAAGAGATTCTCGTTCAGTCGAAGAACCAAGAGTCATGTGGAAAGGGCAGGAATGTGGCTGTGAGGAATGTTGGATCAACTATGATTATCAAGGCTTGAGGAACTGAACAACCTACTTCTGTTCCTATTTCTTACAGTCTGCAAATTGATGCATTGATTGTATTTTTCCAAAGATCTTTGGATTCTGAAGAAGTACCAGATGATTGGAAAACTGCCAGTGTGACACCATTATTGAAAAGGGGAGGGGAGGCAAAAAGTGGGTAACTGTAGGCCAATTAGTCTAACATCATTGTTGGAAAAGTACTAGAATCAATTATGATGGAAGTAACAGCTGAACATTTGGAAAATGACAATGTAATAAAGCAGAATCATGGCTTCATGAAGGGGAAATCATGTCTGATTATTTGTTAAGATTTTTTTTGAGGAAGTCTCAACTCGAGTGGATCATGTTGTATTTGGACTTCCACAAGGCATTTGCCAAGGTACTTTACGAAATGATAAGTCATACGAGCCCTCAGTGTTTGACATGGTATATTGGCATGGATAGATAATTTGCTAATGGACAGGAAACAACGAGTGGGGATAACAGGTTATTTTTCAGGTTGGTGACATGTGACCAGTGGGGTTCCACAGAGATCAGTGCTAGAACCACAACTATTTACTATATGTGTTAACAACTTGGAGGAAGTAAGCGAACGTACTGTAGCCAGATTTGCAGACAACACAAAAATAGGTAGAATGGCAGGTTGTGAGAGTAATACAAACAATTTACAAAAATATTTTTTCTGATTAAGTAAGTGGGTAAAATATTGGCAAATGAAGTATAATGTGGGAAAATATGGAAGGGAGAACAAACGAACAGTATTATTTAAATGGAGAAAAGCTGCAATAACAAAGGGTCTTGGGGATACTAGTGCAAGTAATGTAGATAACTAGCACAAAGGTGCAGCAGGTAATCAGAAAGTTTAATGGAATGTTATTCATTATTTCAAGGAAGTTGGAGTATAAGAGTGTAGAAGTCTTACTGCAACTATGCAAATTGCTGGTGAAAGCACATCTTTTGTTTTATTTATTCACGGAATGAGGGCATCACTGGCTAGGCCAGTATTTATTGCCCATCCCGAATTTCTCAGAAGGCAGTTAAAAGTCAACCACATTGCTGTTTGTCTTGAGTCACATGTAGGCCAGGCTGATAAGGATGACAGAGATAGTAGGAACTGCCGATGCTGGAGAATCTGAGATAACAAGGTGTAGAGCTGGATGAACACAGCAGGCCAAGCAGCATCAGAGGAGCAGGAAAGCTGACGTTTCGGGTCAAGACCTTGATAAGGATGGCAGTTTCCTTCCCTAAAGGACATGAGCAAACCAGACGGGGTTTTCTGATATAACAAGGTGTAGAGCTGGATGAACACAGCAGGCCAAGCAGCATCAGAGGAGCAGGAAGGCTGACGTTTCGGATCTAGACCCTTCTTCAAAAATGGGGGAGGGGAAGGGGATTCTGAAATAAATAGGGAGAGAGGGGGAGGCGGATAGAAGATGGATAAAGGAGAAGATAGATGGAGAGGAGACAGAGGCAGGTACTAAGAAAGGCAATGTGGCTGTAGTACATGATTTGCTTCAGGATGTGGTTGAGCAGTTTCAGGGCCGAAGAGATTACAGGAGAGTTGCAGTGGGAGATAGATCCACTGAGGTCTTTCCGGAGGGAGAAGGGTAACTTCTTCAAGGTAGGCATCCTTAGCATGCAATAATCTCTGACATGTTTTTTGTT